TTCCGATCTTGTTTTATATATTGGTATTTACACTTTTACCCAAAATACATAAATTCGTCTCTTTTTGTTTTCCAGAGTGTCGTGTTATTATCCGGGGAAAAATATAATGATAAAAATCGACGAGAGCAGCAGCAACCCTCACTACTTTGCCTTTGTCATATTGTTTCAACAAGGAAAAACAGACATCACTGCCGTCCAATTATGTGAGGTAAATCTCTAATCTTTTTATATATATATATATATATAGTCGGCAGAAAAAGAATTGATTATGAAACTATTATAACAACGAAAAATATATTTGTTTAAACAAATTAAGATATATCTGTCTCGCAATAGTATCCCGATAATTTATAGTTTAGCTGTACGTCACATGTACGGAAGTGGACTGGACACGAATAAATCCAATTTTTGTGATCAGATTTGATCTCAATATCTGAGACCAAAATATATATCTGTGCCGATCCCGACAGATTAAAATATGAAAAAAATAATAATTAAGATTTAATTATTTATTAATCTTAAATAATTTGATAGATATATATAATCATACGATTTTCACATATTTATAAATATTATGTACATAGCATATCAGAGGATTATTGTATGGATATCCCAATCCAAATCGAGTAATAAAACTACAACGGAATCTGTTGAAAAACCAGTAAAATTCAAACCGAATCGAATAAAAGAAGTTGAAGATTTTGTGTTTTTTCTTCTTCTTTCAATTTATCTCCAAACCGGCTTAAATATCTTGCTAATAATAGTGGGTGTGACATGTCCTATAAAAAGAACGGACTATTCTTATCCAAAGTTTATATATTTCATTAGAATATACATAAAAAATTATATATTAACATAAATGCTACCGAAATTCAAAGTCTTCATCGTCTTCAATATATTAAAAAATACACGAATATTAATATATATATATATATATAAAGAGAGATAATGAAGATGAATCTCCGACATGTACGAAGAATGCGAACCAGAGGTGCAAGCTGTTGGAGCGTAGTTACGGGGCGGTGTGGGCGGCGGAAGGACCGCCGGCCGGAGAATTGACGGTGCGGATGCTGTTGAGCAGAGACGACGGTGACGAGACATGGGTTGTTCCTCTCTACGCGATCCCTAGCGACTGGAAGCCTGGCATGGCTTACGACACCGGTGTTCAAGTTGACTTCTAGTTCTATTTTATTTTTTTTCCTCTTTTTATTTTGGGTCAAATTTCCTTTTTTTTGGTTGTCTCTATTTGAATAAACTATTTTATGCAATGGGTTTTTTGCTTTTTAAATTTGTATGAACATCACGTCCCAATTGTGAAATAATAAGATTCAGAGTGTCCACCTTTTTTTTTTTAAAATGAAAATATCAAGAACTTTTTTTTTTTTTGGAAGTGTGTGTATATATATCCACACATGACCATGTTGCTTATTTTGAAGTCATTTCTATTGCTGGCCAGATTTCATCTTCTAAAAATAATTTTAAAAATTGTTTAAAAATATTATTAGAAAAACTAGCAACAACAACAATAATAATTGAAAAACTTTAACAAAAAAAAAAATATTTGGAAAAGATTAGAAATTATTTCAAGGGAGATTTGGTAGCCCCAACAAACAGTGACCTTAGCTTCGACGAAAAGACGAACCATCTCATCAGAGTTCTTGTGCCCTCATGCAACCGTGAGGGGTCATATTAATTATTTAATTAATTAATTTCATCTTTAATTTACTTAGTATTTAATCTATTGATATTTGACTGTTTTAAGTGGCCCCAACGTGTCAACGGATCTATTTTTTTTCTCAATAATCACCGTTGAATCATATTTATATTTATTTATGTGTTGCACAAAAGGGTTAGAAATATGAATCTGCCGTACAATTAGAATCGTCGATCCAATCACAGAGACTAGCATGAGAAAACAAATAATAAGTTAGAATTATAATTCGAGTTTTTATAAGACGTCTACCCATTATTTGTACAATATCTGGTTTGTTTAGCCCATAATTTGTCGCAAATAAATTTATGATTTATTCTTTATTGAAATTCCTTTTTTTATACACATTCTTAGAGTGAATGCATTTTTTATACATAATTTTTGTTTTTAAATACCTCTCTTATAAAAAGAAAAATATTTTGATTTTGGAACAAAAAAAGTAGACATACATATATGTCAATGTGGCAATTATTTATTTAATGATAACATGAATGAAACAGTTTATATTCGTAAGTAATTCATACCATATTTTGGGATTAAGTATTTTAAAATTGTTTGCCGGTCAATGATTTAATATTTGATGGATCTTCTAACATTTATAGATTTTAAATATTTGCTTATAATTGTATTGTAGTTCCATAAAAAAATAACATATCATATCAAAGTTAAATCGATTTGTTTAGCAAATAGGCAACTCAATTAGAGTTTGGATTTACTTAAATATTTGAATTATTTAAAAGTAAATATATTAAGATATTTTATCATCAATATATTTTAAGAGATTTATCAAAATATATTCTTATTACGCATAATCTTTTGAGAGAAAAAAAAGAGAGAAAAGAATATCACATTTTGATTTGATTTTCTTATGAGTCAGTAGAATCGCAGAAATACGGCGAATTAGCATTATAAAATCTGCGAATATAATAAGGAAATAAAAACATTATGATAAATTATTGGAGATAGGAAAGAATCAAATTGCATAAACCCGGTCCCCGGAAAAAGGAAAAATAATATTTTATAATAAATAATTAATTAAATAACAGACAAAAGGCAAAGGGGGACAGCCCACTCTGCTTTGCTTCATGTCCAATTCAAAAATCAAGCAGAGAAGATACGGTTTGCGATTATGCACGAAATCTTCACCGATCCGATCTCTCTTTTTCCGATCTGTCCAGATTTCTCCATGATTCTAATCTTCTTCTTTCTCCACGAGGGTCTCCCTTCTTATTTATTCCCACCTTCCCTTCTCCCCCTCTCCAATCCGATCTATTCTGTGGGTTTTTGGTGTCTGCTTTACCCTGTTTTCTCGCGTTCTCTCGGCACTTTTCTCCAGAATCGACAATGGGTATGGGAGCTGAAGATCCTAGGTTTCATGTTCTCGCTGTTGATGATAGTCTCCTTGATCGGAAACTCATCGAGCGTCTTCTCAAGAGGTCTTCATTTCAAGGTAATGTATCTCACGATTTCTTCCTGGTACGAGCTTGATTTCGTTCGTCTGTGACGATTCTGCGTCGGAATCGTTTATTTTTCTGTTGCTGTTTTTTTGTGCGAATTAGTTCGACTTGTAACATAGCAAAACTAATCTGTGTAGATTCTGTAGCGTGGAACAAGAGCTAGATTCTTAGAAACCTGACGAGTTATGTCCTAGATTGTGATCCCTTGAAGTATGTTTCATCGTTTTGTGTTCTGTTCCTGTGTAATTTTAGCTGATTATGTTACGGTACTTCTGTGATTCCAGTAACTGCGGTGGATTCTGGGACAAAGGCTTTGGAGTTTCTGGGTTTGAAAAACGAAAGTGATGGAGACATTGGTGATGATGAAGAGTGTCTGATGGATTCAAAGCCCATATCTGTTGGATCTGATGTTGAGATCGAAATTAGTTTGATCATCACAGATTATTGTATGCCCGGGATGACTGGTTATGATCTTCTCAAGAAGATCAAGGTAAGAGTTCATTTTCCCCTTTTTGTTCAACAACATTGTAATCTCTTTGTACATCAAGTGGTTTATGGGTGTTAATGGGGTGAATTGTGTTAATATTGCAGGAATCAGCGAGTTTGAGAAACATTCCGGTCGTGATCATGTCTTCAGAGAATGTCCCGTCGAGGATAAACAGGTGTGTGTTATGACTGATGATGATGATGATGATGACGACTCAGATAGCTATTTTAGTGAATTTGAATGTTTCCCGCTTAATAACTTTGGAATGGCTTAAGAAAGGAAGAATTGAAAGTGTGTTGAGCTTCGGTTGATGGATTAAGGATTTCAGAATGGGTTTTGTTCATATGCTCACGGCTTGAGAAGTCGAAAAAGAAGTGATGGTTATTTATGTTTGCAACCATAGAAGATAGAAAATCACTTTCTGAGGAACGGATTCTGTATTGTTTTCATGGAATAGCCCCATATATATATATAGATAATACATATATAACCGAACCCAGTGCTCGTCTCTCGCGTAAAGATCTTTGGGAATTCCCCTTAAATGGGTTGGTTTGGTTTTGTTGAACAGATGTCTGGAAGAAGGAGCAGAAGAGTTCTTGCTGAAACCAGTTCAGATGTCAGACATGGACAAGATCAAGCCCCATATAATGAAGCAAAAGCCAAAGGATGCGGCGCAAAACACCGCCACCACCAAGAGGAAGAGCGAGGAAGAGATTGCGTCGCCCGATAAATCCAGGCTACGATGCCAATGTGAAGGCTTAGATGTTGTTTCTTCATTGTAGATCTTAGGAGCACTTTCATGGAAGCCAATCATAGGAAATTTTAGTCCCTCTCTTCTGTTTTTTCCTTCCCTTCATTGTTTTCTCCTTTAGGCTCGTAAAATTGGTAATACAGATATATTTTTTCTATAGTAGCTGATAGATGCGTATATATGGACCGTACGAGAGATGGGAAATGATAACTCGTATATGCGTTTCATCCCACAAGAAGGAAGCTAACGATTTGTACAAACCTTCTTGTTTTGGAATAATGGCTCGATTCAAGAAACAAGCAAAGGGTCCAAAGAGATCATAATAACAAACAAAATTATAGCCGAATACACGAGAAAAATCCCGTAATGTCTTCAAGCCGCAAATGGCGGTAAGCGCCTTGTATATCCTCGGCGGCAATAGAGACTACAATAAAGCAGGCCTTTTTTCTTGAAGAGAATGGGATACGGACAACGACGCTTACATTTATGGCATATGGGTCTGGAACAACTGGTGTTGGCTTCGATTGTCATGCCGGGATAAAGGCCTGGCTTCATGTGTGGATCCAGTCCGAGCACGCATTCCACATGGACGGTAACACAGCAATCGTCACATGCGTAGAACAATCTCTCAGCATCCATTTTCCTTTCGCAGATCTCGCACCAGTATCCACATGTCGTATCTTCACCACCATGAAGAATGAGGGGATGCCTATCATGCTTGTACCTTACCATGGGTGGTAAAGTGATGCACTTGAAATCCAAAACGTATTCACATTCGCTGCATTCCATCTTTCGATACGTGTCTTCTCCTCTGCACCCCAAACAGGCACGTCGGACCGAGGACATCATCGTACAGAATAGAGGATGAGCATGAGTTTCATGGAGATACGGCTCAGAAACCGAAGCACAATTCACATCTATTTCGAACTCACAGTAAGTTTCGCAGCACTTATATCTGAAGCCGCAACTCGTCTGACCACAAACGTGGCATTCAAAATACGTTTTTGCGGTGGTCTTTAGTTCAAGACGGTGTGGATGTATCATGAACCATGCTTTTCTATCTAGATTGGCGCATCTTTCATGGAGGATGAAATCGCACTCTGTACAACTGTAGAAAGAGCCGACATGAATACGGACGGGAAGACAGCATGCTTGGCAATGTCCATCGACTTTATTATGCTCGACCATGTTCAGAAGATGATGTCTGTGACCGAAATGACGTATCACTTTATCATTTATAACCTCGAACGGTGTGACATCTTCCTCTGCTTCTTCGGCCACTCCCTCTAGATCTTTCCCGTCCCACACATCGTCCATCGTTGCACATTTCGAATGGACGGTGTAACGGCAGCCTTTGTTGCAGGAGTAGGGTCCAAAATTGTTGTCAATGGCTTTCCGACAAACCCCACAAAACCGAGCTTCGGTCGGAAGGAAAGAAGAAGCATACGATAGGCGATGTTGGTGACGGGAGATCCTGATGACGCGTGGTAAATAGATACACTTTTTGTGGACGACGAAATCACATCGGAGACAAATATACGTAGGGGACCATTCGTCGACCAATCCACAAGCATTACGAGTGAAGGAAGTCAATCTACGGATTAGTGTTAGGGTATGGTCGTGGCACTTTGGACGGTGTAACTGAAGAACAAGCGGCTCTTTCACGCACCTCACATGTATATAGAACTTAAAGACATGAGAGCGATAAGCTACCTTGCTTATAAATATCTGTCGCAGTGATAACATATATATATATATATATATATATGTATATTCAGGGTTTATTATCTCTAGATCATACTTTTGATAAAAAAAAAAATATTATTACAGCCCCAATTTGTTAGAATATTTTCTCTATCGATGGATATATTTACAAGGCCAGAAACCTTTAGACTGAATCTTCGGAGTCCCAACACCAAAAAAATATTGGTATAATTAAATACCGTGACCTAATACACAATACTCGATGTAGATACGAATTTTGGTAATACGATAAACACAATAGACGAGAACGGAGATTCGGTTTTGTTAATTAAACCAAGATTAGACGCTAGAGACACAATTCGAAAATCCAACAAGTTATCAAAAAATTGGAGAAATACACCAAATCCGTCCATAGTGTTTTTATGTTCTGAATGATGTCTTGCGAAATGAATTTCAAAATTATCATTTTGGTTATGGGCATAGACATATCTTATTTAAGAAAACCATTCCAATTAATCTACGATTTTAGACGATTTTATAAATATTCCCTCATATATGCCAATTTATGCCGATTCGAGGATAACCATATTAATCCTACATATATATATATATATTCTTTTTGTAATTGTCCGTTAATGGGCCTTGACTCTAGCTGCATCTCCCTGAGGCCCAGCTTAAGTTGATATGATTTTGTTTACATAAATATTTTCTAAATTTATATTATATTTATAATAAAAACTCTTTCGGCGGCATATCATAGGAGATGGTACCATGTAACCCTGCAATATGATACGATTATACTACCAGTCTTTTCTGTACTTTTTAGATTTTTTTTTGTTTTTAAATTTTTTGTTTGTATAGCAATGATCTAAGGTGAGACACGATAACATTGCAATATACAAACAAAAAATTTATTTTCTTATAAAAATTTATTTTCTTATAAAAATTTAATTATTTTTTATAATACGATATTCCGTACAAAAATACGTAACAATCGATTAATATATTATATTCGGTTTGATTGTTTCATTTTATAAAAAATATTTTGGATTAAAAAAAATCGATATTTTGAGATTTTTAAAATCGGAGTTGGGCCAGATTCGGTTCTGAAAAATTCATTTTTATATAAAAATTATCATTCAATAATTTTAAATGATTCGATTATAAACGGTATCGTATTTCTATTCGTTAAAACCGTACTGAAGCGTCCTCGTTTATCTTACCATAAAAAAAAAGGGAAGGATAAATTTTTGTAGATAGGAGGCGACGGATCAAATATACTTAGGACTATCAATAAATCAATCATTTTCAAAACACTTTTTCAGGTAGTTTCCACTTTTGTCCCTTTCTCTCTCTCTCTCTCTCTCTCTCTCTCTCTCTCTCTCTCTCTCTCTCTCTCCTCTGCACAGTATTCAGTAGACCGCATATGAATACTCGGTACTGTATCTCTACGGTTTCCGTCCGTACATTTTCGTCGACTTTCTCTTTATTCTCTCGCTGATTTTCTCTCCATCCAAACAGGCGCAAGTTTAAAACAAGCCTGTTCTCCTTCCTCCTAGGCTTTGCTCGAATTTGAAATCTCGCTGTACTTCTCTCTCATTTCGTTTGCGCTTTCGAAGGTGAGTGAGGGGATCGATTCCGGATTCGTGCTTTTACTTTTGTCGGGCTTTTAAAGCAGTGAAGCTCAGAATCGTGTCTTCCGCTTTCCATTTGTTTCCAGATTATTGCAGGGGCTGATGAGTAAGAATGAGATTGATAATGTTGATTTCCAGGTTTTTCTGCGGTTGATTTCGGTCGTTTGACGGGGGAAAAAAATCTGAGAATGGAGACTCGATGTTGAGGTTGGAGAGGATGATTGCTGCCGAGGAGCAGCCACTGAAGGCTGCAGCGGTGGAGAGGGACATTGATTTGGTAAGACCTAATATTTTAGCGCTGGAGGAGATTTCACTCTGTTTGGTCTTTGTGAATGTTCATGTAATGCTTGCTATTGAGTAACTTTGTTGTTGTTCTCAACCACAGACTCTCACATCCCTAAAGAAAGGAGCCCATCTGCTCAAATATGGACGCCGAGGGAAGCCTAAGTTTTGCCCCTTTCGACTCTCAAATGTAAAGTCTCTTCTTCTTCTAAAAGACTCAACCTTCTATTTTCTGTCGTATGAGCTGTTCGTTGGAGTATTACTATTCCTTTTTGTGCTAAGTATCTTGTTGTCGAATGAAGCAATGAACGAGGCTAATGTTTTTTGTTTTGGATAAAGGAAAGAGGCTAATGTTATACGACCAATTTAAAACGTTCACGAAATTTTGATCTCACTCTGGTCTTTTAATCTTTTCCAAATAACTCTGTCTATCTGCATGCGCAGTTCATGATCTGATGCACAATCTGGTTAAATAATATAATGCGTATGCATCATGATATGTGCATATAGATTATGATTTCTGTCTTGCATTAGATTGTCAAAATGCTTTGCCAAAATAGGTTCATGAAATGCTATACATTAGACGTGTGTAACTCTTGCTTTTTTCCTTTTCAGGATGAGTCCACGCTTATATGGTTTTCTGGGAAGGAGGAGAAACACCTAAAACTAAGCCATGTTTCTAGAATCATCCCTGGTCAGCGTACTGTGAGTTTATCCATGCTCTGATCTTTTTATTTATTTTGCATGAAGCTGTTATTCAACTTCTGATCAAGGCATTATAGATCTGATGAAACAAGTCTATGGTTTGGTTTCATTAATATTGTTGTGTAGTACCAATGGCATGAGCATAACTATGATTTCGATCTGAAAATATTTTATCAACCATCTGGAAGAGAGAATAACAATGTCTTTAGCATAGGGGTGGGCAAAAATACCTAAACTTTTGGTGCTCGTCCCAACCCTAGAGTTGGGTACTCGAAAATCGGATACCCAAAAATTGTCTTGCGGGTAATTTAATTCGAGTAACCGAAAACTCGGATTCCGTTTTTAAATAAAAATTGTGTCGGGTTCGGGTACCCTAAAAACCCCGGGTACCGACCCGTGCCCACCATTACTTCAGCATAGAAAGCCCACCTGGCATCTCACGGTTTTGTCATTGATGCACACCATTTGAGGACAAGAAACATCTTTTCTCACGATTGCTCCTGTGTCTCCAATGGTGCAGTAACATTTTAACTTTATGCATAGTTAAGAGATAACCCTGAACCATTTTTTTAATTTGTTTATGTTATTCACGATTTGACATCTTCAGGAGATATTCCAAAGGCATCCTCGTCCAGAGAAGGAATATCAGTCGTTTTCTCTAATATACGACGAAGATTCCTTGGACTTGGTATGCGTATAGTTGAAATAACCATTCTGTTTGGTGGCTTCTTGATTCAATGTTTGTACCTGCACTGAACATTACATTATGTTAAAAGTAAATCTTTATACAGATATGCAAGGATAAAGATGAAGCTGAAGTCTGGTTTACTGGTTTAAAATCTATAATATCACGTGGCATTAGTGGAAAATGGAGGGTAGAACCACGTAGTGGATTTTCATCTGAAGCTACTAGCCCTAGAGTCCGGACACGAGCAAGCTCTCCCTTGAGCTCTACATTACACAGTGGTAGCTGTTCACAGAAGGTCTCATTCTTCCTCGAATTCAATCTTTGCAATGGTTTAGGTGCATGTATAACTGTTCTGAATGCTAAAAGAGAACATTTGTTCTTTTTTAATCAGGATGGTTATGATGGGATCCATCTTCAGACATCTGAAGGTATCCCTCCCAAAATTACCTTGGAGAAGGCTTTATCTGATGTGATACTACATGCTATGCCACCCAAAGGCTTCTTCCCTTCAGATCCAGCCCGAGGGTCAATGTTCTCTCTGTCATCCGGTGGCTCTGATGGAACAATTGGGTATAGATGTGGTATGAACGTAGATGCTTTTAGGATTAGTTTGTCTAGTGCTTTTAGCACATCGAGTCAAGGTTCTGGTCACGATGATGGTGATCCTCTTGGTGACATATACATTTGGGGTGAAGGTACTTGCAATGGCTTATTGGGTGGAGGAGTACATAAAGTTGGAAGCCATCATGGAGTTGAACTTGATTCTCTTGTGCCCAAACCCCTTGAATCTGCTGTGAGGCTTGATGTTCAGAGTATTGCTTGTGGTGGGCGACATGGTGCTCTGGTGACAAAGCACGGAGATGTATTTACTTGGGGCGAAGAATTAAGGGGTAGACTCGGGCATGGTGTAGATTCGGATGTCTCGCATCCTAAAATAGTAGAATCCCTTAAAAATGTCAATGTCGAGCAAGTTGCATGTGGAGAGTACCATTCATGTGCTGTATCTCTTTCTGGTGAATTGTACGTTTGGGGTGACACCAGTTACAACATTGGGCAAGAAGGTAGTCATGGTAGAGAAGCAGTTTTGTGGATTCCGAAAAAACTAGGTGGACATTTGGATGGCGTGCATGTCTCATCAGTTTCATGTGGACCATGGCACACTGCTGTGGTAACATCTGCAGGGAAGTTGTTTACTTTTGGTGATGGGACCTTCGGTGTCCTTGGACATGGAGATAGGAAAAGTGTTTCAACGCCCAGGGAAGTGAAGTCACTTAAGGGTATTAGAACTTTCCGAGCATCCTGTGGTGTTTGGCACACTGCTGCCATAGTTGAAGTAATGACCGGATCTTCAATTTCTAGCAATTGTTCTTCGGTGAAACTTTTCACATGGGGAGACGGAGATAAAGGACAACTTGGCCACGTCGACAGAGAATCAAAGCTGGTGCCAACCTGCGTTGCTGCGTTAGTTGAACCAAGCTTCTGTCAAGTGGCATGTGGACATAGCTTAACTGTTGCACTTACGACGACTGGCCATGTATACACTATGGGAAGTCCAGTGTGTGGTCAGCTGGGAAACCCTCGAGCTGATGGCAAGCTCCCAACCCGTGTTGAGGGTAAACTTGTGAAGAATTTCGTTGAAGAAATAGCATGCGGTTCCCATCATGTTGCAGTTCTAACATCAAAATCTGAAGTTTACACATGGGGAAAGGGTGCGAATGGTCGGTTAGGTCATGGGGATGTTGAGGATAGAAATTCCCCGACATTGGTAGAAGCTCTCAAGGACAAGAGAGTCAAAAGCATTGTCTGTGGAACCAGCTTTACCGCAGCCATCTGTCTTCACAAATGGCTTTCAGGTATAGACCAGTCTCTGTGTTCTGCCTGCCGCCTTCCGTTTAATTTTAAACGGAAACGGCACAATTGTTATAACTGTGGGCTTGCGTTTTGCAACTCATGTAGTAGCAAAAAGACTTTGAAGACTTCTATGGCACCTGTTTCCACCAAGCCTTACCGTGTCTGTGACAATTGTTACGAGAAGATCAACAACAGTACTCAAACAAGCTTCGTTTCTATGAGTATTGCAAATAGAAGAGAAAGTATCATCCCGGGATCAAATGCTGCAAACAAAAACGATTGTTTTGATTCAAAAATTCATCTCCAATTTTCCAGAAATCCATTCATTGAGTTATTCAAGGAGGGAGAGAGCCGATGTTCTAGAAAAAACAAGAAATTGGGTTTTAGGAGCAGGGCTTCGTCACCACCAGGGGGTATTTCTCGGCGTAATGAGAATCCAAAATCTTCCTATCCGGTATTCGGATCGTCCAAAAAATTCTTCTCAGTTTCTCTCCCGGGTTCGAGGATGGCATCTCGAGCTTCATCTCCCACATCTAAACGACCAAGCCCTCCGCGTTCCACTACACCATTGCCAGCACTATCATGCCTTACATCAAACAAAGTTTCTGTGGGCGGCACAGCGGGAACAAATGACAGCATAAGAGATGAGATATTCAAACTGAGAGCGCAGGTATATATATATATATGCTTGGAAGTTGATACATGTATTATTCAAAGTTATGGGAGATCAAAGATAAATAGCTTATCATCTTTCTGATTAATTGCTTGACAAAACATAGGTCGATGAGCTTACCCACAAAACCGAGCTTCAAGAAGATGAGATTGGAAAAACAACCAGACAACTCGAGGAAGCCCTTTCGGTTGCAGCGGGAGAGACTGCGAAATGTAAAGCAGCCAAGGAAGTAATAAAAGCTCTCACCTCACAGGTAACTCCGATACAATTCTCACAATTGCTCTAAAAAACCCTTTAGCTTATGAGCTCTAAAAATGCCATGTTTACTCCTTTTCTTTCTCTATCTGTCGTAGTTGAAGGAACTCGCCGGAATATTCCCCATAGGAGAACCAAGAAACAGTGTCATGCTTCCTACCAACGACAAACTAACAAAACCTGAATCACACTGTTCAGGAAATCAGTGTAGCCCATTTACCACTAACTTCACTTCCAATGACTCTGGATTGGAAACTGATCCTAAAGCCCGAAACAGACTAATACCCGAACATAACGATGGAGAAGAATGGGTTGAGCAATACGAACAAGGCGTTTACATCACCCTCGTCGCATTACCAGGAAGCGCTAGAGATCTCAAACGCATCCGCTTCAGGTTGTGACACATCATTGCTAGTAGAAACATCTTGTCGGAATATGACAAAAAGAACTTGCAACTTGTACAAAGTTTCTGATTGTTTGTTGTTATTCCTGCAGCCGGAAACAGTTCACCGAGAAGCAAGCGGAACAATGGTGGACGACAAACCGAGCTAGAGTTTACCAACGGTACAATGTTTCCGAAGGCAAGGAAGATTCAACAAGACCGAACTAAAAACCAGCCCGTTTTGATTTAACCCGTCTAGTTTAGTTTTTAGATTACGTCCATACTAAGAATAGAAGAAGAAACTCAGCCTCCATCACTTTGATCTCAGGTTTTTGCCTCACTACCTTTTCGGTGTTTTGGTATTGTAAATATGCGATTTGCTTTACTGTTTCCATCGGCCATAGGGACAGAGACGAGTAAAATGGGGAAAACAGATGAATCAAAGTAGTGGCAAGTTTCAGACATCTAACATCAGCTCTTCTCTGTTTCATTTTTACTTGCCCTTCTCTCTTTCTTTTTTCTTTTTGGAACCTCATCTGATTATATATAATCTTTATTAAGTCTGACCGCGTTTTGTTGTTGTGCTCGAGCAAAAAGTAAATAATTTAAATTGAGGAGGAAAATATATATTCTAATCACATTATTTGCTTCCAATTCTGAAACACTCTATTATAAAAATATATGTATATATATATATATAGTAAATAATTTAGTTCACATTTTTTCAGAATATTTGCATATATTGATTTGGAAAAAAACTTTTAATATCTCTAAACTCATTCGAATTTATCAATTAAATATATCTAAAAAAACTTTATCCATTGTAACTATAATTTAAAACGATAGTTTATAGATTGACAAAAAATAAAAGAGCAAAAGTATAGATATTTTGTCTTAAAAAATTAATGACTTTCTTTTTTTGCGGTTTGGGGTTTCTCTTTTTAATATTTTGTGTTTTACAAAGTTAAAAGATGAATTAATTAATAAATGCAATTATATTTCGTAAATTGTCTGCAATAACCGATTTATTCAGTCCGGTTGTGTTTGGTTCGATTGAATTCCTCTAACATTCGTCCAATTCGGTTTGCTTGGTTCTGGACTAACACCCAGAACAAAAACTGAAAAACCTAAAAAGTGCGTCTCTGTATCCCTCAGGGAGAAACCAATATCCAGACAATCGTTTTGTGCCCTAAGAACTCGATTTGATCTCAACATGGCAAGAGATAGCTGTTTGGCTCGTGTCACCGCAGGTGTTGCCGTCGGCGGCGCTGTCGGAGGCGCTGTCGGTATGTAATCTCTGCCTTTGTCTCTATCTGTCTGACTTCTCTCTCGTGTGCTAAAAAAACCCTAATCCTTTTTTTTATCAGTTTAATCCATGTAGTTACTTGGGCCAATCTATACGTCTCTTCATTTTGATTGAATTCGGTTTTATGTCATTGGAATTTGAACTTATGGGCTCTGATACCGAGTTTTGGTTCGGCTGAAGAATTTTCCGATTTTGGGTATTGGGTTTAACGTGTTTTCCTCATCATGGATGCCCCTATTTTGGTCGGGGTTTTTCGCTGGGCACTGATAGCCGACGATTTATTGATGCTTTTAGAATCGATTATTCTTGATTGTTGAAATAATGGGCATTTTTAATTTCAGGTGCTGTTTATGGAACCTACGAGGCAATTAGATACAAGGTAAATTGTTTTAATGGTTTCTACATTATATTCAGCCTTTCAGTTTTGTTTTTTCAGATCATCTAAATATATATTGGATGTCCATGGATGTTTGTATGTCAATGCAAGCTGAAAAACTGTCTTGTGCTATCATTTTGGTTAAACTCTTGAAAGAATCGTTTGATTAGGAGTAGGGTTTTTGGTGTTTATATTCAGTTTTTGTTGCGAAGATTTGAATCTCAGATTGCTAGCCTTGTTCTTGTCACACGTTCGGTTTTGGAGATGAACAATAACATGCTAGAAAAAAGATGGTTCTGATGAGTCTTGTGACTGCTAGCTAAACATACTGGACTCACCTCGCTATTGATTGCCTTCACTTTGAGACCCTCGAGTGACGCATTTGATCTAAATGTCATATTTTGAGATCTCAAAGCCACTACCTTACCGTAAGCGAACAACTCTTTTTCTTACGCTTTACCAAATTTTATCTGATCGAGACTCTTCTCTATGTCTGTAGTTACCTGAACTCAAAACATAAAAAAACTGATCTTGGAACAGGGTTTCCTTGTTTACTTCAATATTCTATGTTCCTTTCGTGTATATTAAGTGTTGGTGATGAAATATCAAAGTATGGTGATTCAGGGCAGGTAAGTTAGTTGTCGCCAATGTTTATTAATACATCCAAGTTGAATTCGTTCTGTGCTTCAGTTCTAACCGTTTGTTCCCTACCCGTTGCAGGTCCCAGGACTTATGAAAATAAGATATATAGGGCAAACGACGCTGGGCAGTGCAGCCATTTTCGGGCTCTTTCTCGGTGCCGGCAGCTTGATACACTGTGGAAAATCTTATTGATTTCCTTCTTTTGCTTTGTCTCACAGAGTGTTGAGTTTGTGTTCCATAAAAAAATCTCTGCCTGGTGGGAGAGAGATCTCTGTTTCTATAAAGATATTTACCCCTTTTTTGTCCATAGAGATTCTTGAATGGATGAACTGGAAAATCCGAGCTTGATTTTAACATTTGTTTGATGTTTGGACTTCAGTTGAATAAATTCCGATCTAGAACTTGAGACTGGGCACGTGCAGATCACTTCATTGTTTCTTGGTTTCCCTATACAGATAGGATGCTTAACTCACGGTTGTCCTCTCTGGTTAAATTCGCCAAACCTATTGACACAGTGCGTTACCCTGCCTTGTTGTGTACGGAAGCACCGTACGGAGACAGAATCTGAACAAGCATCTTTTGTTCTGTATAAATGGCACAATTGGTGATACGATACAAAACCCACTTTGCGAGTTTCCTATTTTGCATTGCCAGAGGCAGACGAGATGCCGAACATTAAGAAAAACCGTCCAAGATTATCAGTGTGGATCATTCTTGAATCAGCTTTCGTTTCAAGATTTGTTGAGGAAATCTGAAGATGAGTTTGAGTGTGGGAGAGTGCTCTTGGTCGCGAAGAATCTAACAAGTACTCGTCGATTGAACACATCTTCGTTGAAGAGATTTGACCGGAAGCTTTGAGAGTATTTCTTCCACCAGATCCGATAGAAGCTCCTGACAACGATAAGGATCGAATGCAAATGAAATCTAGGGTTTTGCTTTTATCCTTTTAGGATAAAGATTTGGCGGTTTTTTTTAGCAATGTCAACGTGATGTGATTTTGAGAGAGATGATGCTCATGCCTTGTCGCTCAAGTTTTGGTTCAAAAAAACCAAAAAAATACTATAAAATGTTCTTACAAAAAAAAATTGAATTACTGAATCAAATTTAACGTAATGGTAAAGCCTGACGAAACATCAAAATTTGAATTCAAAAAAATTAAAATTCCTGATCAAACAATGTGATCACGTAACATTTCAAATAAGCAGTAGCGTTATTCTAAGGCAACACAGATGGGGGCAAAATGGTCATTCGGCGGCAAAAGAAAAAGGAAGAGAGAAGGAAACTGAGGTCAAAATGATCATTCCAGCAGCAAAAAAAAAAAAAGAGAGAAAAGGAAACTCGGGAGGAGGTTGTGACCGTTGTTGTCAGAAGGACAGTTGTCCTCTCCAAGTAAACAGATCTCTATCTCCCCATATATATATATATATATAAGACAAACGAAGTTTCCATATCTCTCTCTCTCTCTCTCGCTCCCATCACTCTTCTTCTTCTTCTGCTTCTTCCGAGTTCTCAATCCGGCGATCCGTCTCATTTGAAACCCTAGTTTTCGTATTCTTTGGTTCCGATCCGTACATTCCCAAGCAGAAAAAGAAAGATGGCCACAGAGAGATGGAAAGTCGACCAACTCGTCGTTTCTGCGATGAAAGCGGCCGACGCGGTCAAGACGAAGGACAACCTCAGGAGATGCATCGAAGCTCTTACATGTCTCAAGGGTCTGTCTCTCTCCTCCGAAGATCTTCGAGAATCGGCATCCCTGCAAAAGCTGGAGAGACTCAGAGATCATCCAAACCCTAAGATACGAACTGAGGTTCGAGAGTTGTTCTCTTCTTTCATGAGAACTCTTTACGCCAAACCTCTTCCCACCACCAATTCTCCTCAAGTTTCTCCAAGTCCGACATGTTCCGTCTCGAAGAGGGTTTCTTCGGATGATCACAGTAGAGAGAGATGCGACACGTCGAAGAAGAATGAAACCCAACTCTTGGAGATGTTTCAGGCGGCGAAGGCAGCGGCGGATGCCGCCAACGTGAAGGGCATTCTCTTGGGCAAGTCCGAGGCCACTCGCTGCGTTGACCTCTTGTCCAAGCTCATGTACTTTACCGTCACTAGGAAAGTTCTTAAAGAAAACCGCATCCAAGAGAGGCTTAAGAACCTTACCAAGCACAAGAACCGAAACATCTGCTCTTCCGCATCTCTCCTGCTTCAGCATTGGACCGAGAATACTATCAAGAATCAAGAATGCCACCAAGATTCTGTCACCAAGTTGAATCGCGATTCTCTGCTGAAATGTCTCTACGCGAGCGGGAGAAGAACAAGTCCTCCCAAAGCTGTTCCGAAGAGGCCTCTCCAGAAGAAGGTGCCACCGAATGACCCTCACCCTCCGAAAGTTTCTGCAATCCCGAGGCTTGCCATCCCGAAAAGGGTCAAGACCAACGAGGAGAAGAGGTCCATGACGCAGGCTGATATACTGAAGAAGGCAATCGAGTTGTCGGAGTTGTTTGAAGCAGCCAAGAAAGCAGCAGATGCAGCCAACACGAAGGGCATTCTCTTGGGCCGATCAGATTCTTCTAGCTGCGTTGATTTTTTATCAAGGCTCAAGACCATTCCTGTCAATTGGGAAGTTATAGAGGCCCATGGAATGGAACGGAGACTGGAGCACCTCACCAAGCACAAGGACCGGAAGATTTGCTCTTCTGCCACTGCCCTTCTTCAACACTGGAGGCAGAGTTCCGGACGTCAAGAACGCCGAGTTTCTACCACCAAGATGAGCTCCTACAGCCCCAATTTCGTTGAGGTGGTCTAGTCGGAACCAGCAAACACACCAAAGTCAGCTGTTTCAAAGAGCTCTTTTACTTCTGTTGGTTCTATTCATGATAGACTTCATCCTCATTTTTTGTTTGCGAGAGATAATCTGTACAGAACATTCTTCAAATGTCAATATATAAAGCATTTATTGTTTCCTCAATCTATATTCAACTGTCTGTTTATTACATGTCTTCCTTTTGTAGGATTCAAAACGTCTCTGAATCTTTTATAGTTGCAAATCCCAATAAAAAGAAAGATTTTCAATATCAGCAAAGCATAACAAGGATCATAAGGATACCGAACTATTTTTCAATGAGCAAAAGTACACAATAGAATGTTAGATCTTAGAAAAACACACTAGCGTGTGCAGTTTGATAGAGAGAACCCTATGTTAACATATCGTTCTTCTGTAACGATCTACGCGGCACATTTGCCATATAAGTTTGGATTGGTGGTATCGTCTGCAACTTAATTCGTAGCTCATCTTTCTTGAACAGAATCCTACCTCAACTCCTCAGCGCAATAGACAAAGCTACAACGCAAATCAGATTTCCTAGTTTACCATTTCCCAAATATCATCGAATTGTGTCATATTAGAGCGAGTGAGAAAAGGGAAACAGACGAGATCAATCAACAATGCAATGCATTAACCCCGAATCTCAACATCTGTAAAATTTAATGTCTATTTTGCCGGAATCATCAACGGGAGGCGACGCATCATAATGCACAGTTTCACTTTTGATCTAAAATCACGTACCATCACCATGGAACAGTAAATTCTGTACAAAATGCGATATGATTAGACTCGCGAATCTGCAGACTCAACCAGAACTACTTCTCACAAACGAACCAAACAGATCTTAGGGGAAAAAAAAAAAAAAGAGAAGGCTTCAGCATATGTACTTGTTCAGAGGCTGAGGAGCAGAAGAGATAGCGGCTATCCTCCTGTCGTTGTCTGTCATCGTCGTCTGCGAGGAATCTCTGTCTATGTCGGCGGCGGCGGGGAATTGGGATTTTCTCCGGCAGTCACTCTTGGGGTTCAGGGGAGATGAACTTTTTGAATTTCGGGGATACTCTTCCCCGCAAGGCAAAAGTATTAATGTTCCCGCGCTACTGAGAATCCTACTGTTGCAATAAAAACAACGTGATGTTTATTTTCATTAAAACGTCACAAAGTCACAGACTGCTATGTTAAAACGGCATGCACTTCAACAATGGTTCTCTAAAACGTCATTCTTGCATAAACTTCCTAAATATAATTCATTTAAATTAAACTATCAAGTCCATTAGACGAAATTTGGTGTTCTCTCTCTGTTTCTTTTGGGACCACTGGCGACTTGAAGAGCACAGGAACAACTAACACAAGAGAACGACACCACTGTATCAATATGTCCTAAATAAAAACAATTTTCAACCAACAAAAAAATTATTTAAAATATACGATAATAAAATGAAATATTCAACAAAAACTATCATGAAAATTCAGTGACAAAAATTTGAATTAGTTGTTTAATCGTTATTCGTTTTCGTATATATATCATCATTGATAACCGCAATGAATATTCAGTGTAGTTTCCCAAATTAACCTTTTTTTACACCTTTATTTTCACAATAAATATAAAAAAAGGAGGAAAAAGATATCAAAATTAATCAATCTTGCTTACTCTAGGACCATATTAATTTATATCTTTTATAAAATTACTAATTATTGATTATCAAAATGTTCATTGTAATATTTAAATTGTGATTATATAGAAAAAATAAATAATTAATATTTAAATATTTTTTGAAGATATTTTAACTTGCAAGATGTTTATTTAAAAAATCATAGTCAAATTTATAAAATAATATTAAGTGTAATATGTTTAAAATGTAAGTCGAAATTACGAAGTAATTACAATTTGTTAAGCTTTTATTAATATTGACACAACTAGTAATTGGATTAAAAATTACAACTAAAAAGAGATATTATTAAATTGAAAAGTATGTATAGTATAGTATCAATGATATAGTTTAGATAAACAGAAACAAGAACCATATAAGTAATTTGTTATTTTCTTCTATATATTTTATGAAAATAAAGTGATCTAAGAAAAGTTTACCAATGATATAATTGGTCAATTTCTCTTGCTTTATCTATTTGTTAACGATTATCAAATATATAATATTCGTATAATATTTTATAGAAGATTTATTCATATATATTTATTATTTTTCTGAAAACAAAAACATCGAACACATGCATGAAAATTATAAAATACATGTATACAGACATGTATACACGTATGTATATATTTTCATACTTTTTTTTAAAAGGACTTGGAAAGTTACACATCAAGCTTGAGATGGTTAAAAAGAGATGAGATCTTGTGCATTGTCAAGGGTTTTTCTAGACACTGGTCAAGTCCAGCCTCCATGAAAGCTTTCTTCTTGTGTTCTTCGTTGTCAAGTGACGTCACCCCCACGATCATTGACGTCACCCCCATTTCTCTCAGCTCCTTTGTCGCCTGTTTTTTGAATTGTAAATCAACACCAAGAATGTATAACCATTAAATTTGCGGTCTGGGTATTTATTCAAAGTACAAAACTAGTCAAAGCGCAAAATGGTCATTAACTATATTATGCATACCAAGAGACCGTCCATTATGGGCATTTCCTTATTCATCAACACGAGGTCGAAGGAAGCTCCGGCGCGGTGGATGTTCCCCGCGACCTCGCCGTTCTCCGCCGTGGCGGCTACTCCTCCAAGCCTCTGGATGAATGCCACGTGGATTTTACGGATGACCGGACTATCATCCACCACCAGCACTCTTACCTTTTTCTCTTCAACCATGGACTCCTTTTCCATTCCCGTTGATGCAGTTGACGTGGCCATCTCCAATCCGAGTAACAAAAATCTTTAAACAAATTCCTTTTTCTGCTTAAAAAATGGTATTTTTTTTATGAGTATCTCGCATATAATCAAATGTATATATATATAGTATATTAACATAAAACTATAAATTAGAGCTAAGCCTTCTTTCTCTTCTTTTACATTATTATTTCCCTATCACTTTACTGTCTATTATTTTTGTTCGTACCTCACCGGGTTAGACTGACACCGCGGACGGTGTCAAGTACTGTATGTGATGACATGTAAATATTGTCATATTTTCACATTGGATGTCTAGCACATTTCACGATATTTTGCATATTTATAGATATCCCTTGTACATTTTATTCCGACTTCGATGTTTTTGATATTTTGCAGGAAAATTGAAGCTTTGGACGAAAATGAGGCAATTTCCAAGAAAAAAGACATGACCCGGAACCAACCCGAACATATTCTGAGTACCAAAGAGTCAAAGAGGTATTCCAATTTCGATGTTTTTGATATTTTTCAGGAAAATTGAAGCTTTGGACGAAAATGAGGCAATTTCCGAGAAAAAAGACATGACCCGGAACCAACCCGAACATATTCTGAGTACCAAAGAGTCAAAGAGGAAATGCTTGCCCGATGTTGATATTACGAGTCCCATAACTTTTGCAATACAGATCCATATCATGCGTACTATACAGCATTGGAAAGCCTTTTTCAATAGCTACGCACGGACACAAAGATCACTCCAATCAGATATTGCATTAGAAAGTTATGGTGAAAATACTATGAGCATATGTTCTGACGACGAACTGTGCACGAGTGTGCTATTACGAGCTACATAACTTTCTCCATACAGGTCCAAATGATGTATGCGATACATTGGAAAGATATTTTCAATAATAGCTACACGTGGATACCAAGAGCACTTCAATCCGACATCGGAGCCGAAAGTTATGAGGAAAACAATATGACTATGTCATTTGGTGGCGACAAGAAAACAGCTTTTCCTCAAAACACGGAGCTCGGGAATTATGGAGGAAAATGAGGAGGAAAATGGGGAAATGTCTTGCTTCTTTTCTTGGCTATAAAAGGGGCACGAAGGGGAGGCTTAGAGGCATCATCCAACACATTAGAGAGTGAGTTTGAAGAGTGAATTGAGAGCTTCTTGAGAGAGATCCAAGGAGGAGTCAAGAGAAGAAGAAGAAGAGGAGGAGGAAGAAGAAGAGTCCTGCAACTATCACTAAGCATTCTATTCCCTCTCTTTTAATTCTTGTCATGAACTTCTATTTGGATGTTGTTTGTATGTTTCCCATGATGTGTGAGTAGATTTATCATTGTAGGTTAGGGATTAAGGTTGTGTAAGGATCATGTGAACATAACCTATCTTTGAAACTATGGGTTTTATAATTTGGTTTGAATGAATGAATCTTAATGCTATGAATCTTGTTGGCCACTTGATTTGTTGAACCTAGAATTTAGTTTGCATAGAGATATGGAACTAAGTTTGGAACTCTTTCATTTGAATAGATGAACATTGCATTGAGAAATGAATGAACATCTAGGAATCATGATGGTGGATTTAATGCTCTTAAGAGTTTCAATCTATTTAGAATCGAGAGATCGGTAGGTTGAACTCTTAGGAAGAGAGGTGAGACTCGAGAGAGTAATCCTCTATAACAAGAACTTGAATTTCCCGAATCATAACTCTAGTTACGAAGATATATCCGTAGAAGCGATCCTTACATAACCCGTAATTCCCGACACCTACGATGTTTTATAGAATTGTGCTAAGTCTTTGCTTGTATTTGCTTTAATTCGTGTTTACTTTCAGTTATAATCATCACCATCATCATTATCGTCTCCGACCGAAACCGAGTAATAATCGTAATTGTTGTCGTTAAACCACACGTGTCCTTGTGTTCGACCCTAGGTACTACAATTGATCCGTACACTTGCGGTGATTGTATTTAGGAATTAAAACAAGATTAGATCACATCCTAGATCGACATCAAGTTTTTGGCGCCGTTGCCGGGGACACAACGGTTTTAGCGATACGATTAGGAAACTACTTAGTTTGGGTCATTTTTTTTCTTTGGTTTGATTTGGTCCTCATCTTTTTTCCGTTGTCGCTCTCTTTGATTTGAAGATTCTTTGGTGTATGACAAGGAGTTCTGGGTCGCAAAACCTAGTTCCCTTGGATCCCGAAATAGAGAGAACCATAAGACAAAACTTGAGACAACACCGAGAAGAGATGGGAGATCACGACGTTGTACCCGCACCGGGAAATGCGCACATAAATGAAGAAACCTTCGCGCAATACAACGCCCCACGACATACTGAGCTCTTATCCGGCATTCGGATGCCGGAGGTGGACATGACGAGATTTGAGCTCACCCCCGCCACAATCCAAATGTTGAGCGCCATGGCCTTCCGGGGTAGGCCAAATGAGGATCCTAACGCACATCTCACTCGGTTCAAGATGATGTGTCGTTCCATTAAAAGAGCTGATCAAATAACCGAGGACGCAATCCGCTTAATCGCCTTTCCATGGACGTTGATAGACGCTGCACTCGATTGGCTCTATGAAAAAAGGCCGAGAGTGTGATGAAGTTGCATGCAAAAGTCCGGGAGAATATTGCAAGGAGAACGGAACAATATGCACGACAAGCAAACAAGGGGCGAAAGAAGATCACTTTCAATGAGGGAGATTGGGTGTGGCTACATCTAAGGCCGGAGCGCTTTCCAAACAAGAGAACATCCAAGCTAGCACCAAGAGGAGATGGCCCATTCCGTGTGATTGAGAAGATCAACGACAATGCCTACCGTTTGGAGCTTCCCGGTGAGTATTACGTATCTTCTACTTTCAATATAGCTGACTTGCTTCCTTTTGATGCAGGAGATTCTGTTTTGAGGTCAAAACCTTCCCAAGGGGGAGGAGATGATGAGGTCATCCACTTAGATGAGCTAAACGAGGAGCAAGCAGAGCAAGGAAACCATGGAACGCACAAAGGAGCTGAGGAGCACAAAGGAGCGAAGGAGGAGGACAAGCAAGGAGAGACAACCAATGAACCAGTCTTTATATATATATATGGCTTAGATTGCCAGTTCATGTGGGTATGCTTTGTGCAAAGGGATTGATATGTGCATATGAGTGATTTATAAATATAAACCTAGCCAAACATGGAATGATATACGAATGCTCAAACATCAAAACCTCTTGATTGATATATTCTACAAAAAAGTACATATATAAATTGATATAAATCGTATCTAAATAAATGATAAAAATCGTGAAGATAATAACTTACGTTTTGAGATTAAGAAAGAAAAACTTATGAATTCACTTTTAAAAAAACATCCAAATTTATAGATAGAAAAAGTGAAAAAATAAAATCTACATATATAAATCGATATAGATCGTATCTGCATAAATTTATTGTTTTTTTTACTTTATTATTTTAAATAATTATTTTATATAAAATAAACATAATAGTTACATGTAATCTTCATCAATTGTTTATTGAAAAAGAATAAAATCAAATCTTAAACATAACTTCAAATAAATTCTAATCAGATATTATATTTGTCGTTTTTTGTAATGTATTAATTAAAAATCTATCGTTTATATCTTTATATATTTATTTAATATTTTAAATAATACAAAATATAAAATAGATGAAGGGGATGTAGTTTTAACAAGTTAGAATTTTATTAAATAATTTTATGGATGTTAGTTTACTATATATGATGAATATTATATAAAATTCGATAATTGACAATAATGATTTTAAAGTTAAGTTACTAATAAAATGTAAAAATTAATAAAAACAATTATATTATTAAAATTTTATCAAGTTTTTATATCAACAATTATAAATAAATATCATCTTATGATAAGTTCTCCATCAAAGGCTATACACGATGGACCGTACAACTCATTGGAAAATCTATGACCCAAATAGATGTATACTATGTTGTAAGGAGGTTGAGAACCATTATCACTTATTCTTCATATGTGAATACAGTACTGCGATATGCTCTTACTATGCAAGAAAACTCAAGGGAACAGAATAATTTTTCATTTCGGTTCCGACGGACTGCATTCGATCGGTGGTTACACCAAACGCTGTCTATGAGTCCAAAAACTGGAAAGATGAGGAGGCATCTCATACAACTCTTTGTGTATGAGCTTTGGAAAGAACGCTATGGAAGAACTCACTGGAATACGTACAACTCCTTACCACGTATTCTGGCCAGAATTGATAGGTTTATGATGAATATTTTACTCTCCTTTCACAAACAAGGAGCGAAAGGCGACAACAAATCCATCCAACTTTGATATCGCATTAATTAGTTATCTTTTTGTTTCTTTTATCCGTTTACCATGAGAATCCTTATTTTTTGATTCGGTTGTAAATCAGACTACATACTATTTATGAGATATGAATAGAAATCAACAAACACATTTTCATCAAAAAATAAATATCATCTTTACAATCTCTTGAATGTTAAAAAATATGTCGAAATTTTATCTATCATTCTAATTCACTTTATATATTAACAAGAATTATTGGTTTCATAGTTTTAATTTGAGTTGCGAAACCAATTAGTAATCTAAGTCTTCCACTTTTATTTGTAACACATTTGTTTACTGTCCCGAAAAAATTATTAGAATTTTAATCAGATTTGACTCTGTTATATAAATCTTACAATTTCTTAATTATTTGATACCATAATTTATACATTATTTGATTTAATGAGATTATATCAACATTTACATAACTTAACTTCGAGGAATAAACTACTGATGTCCAAAATGTTTGTAGATGAATTTTTTTATTTAATCAGTTATTTTTTTTAATCTTGAACTGTTTATATGTTTACTCAAAACTATATTAACTTTTTTATTTATATTCATTCCGAAATTTAGATGCTATTACATTTTAACCAAGAAAAGAAAGTTATAATTTCTCCGTACAAAGTATGCAATTGTTTCGAGAACTTGTCGTAAAATTAAATGAAAGCTGAAAAATAAAATCTTTGTATGCTAGCCATTCTATGTATTCCGTTTTCGCCTAAACGTGCAAGACTTTATGACGTTTAAATGGAGAGGAACGACACGTTTTTAATCGCGAGATTGCAGATTTTCTATTGCGCGGGAAAACTAATATATGTCTTGCGAGGAAAGTCGAGAAGAAGAAGAGAGGATCCCCAGAATTCAAAAAAAAAAAAAAAATCTCCCCTGAACCCTAACAGTCACTAGGAGAAAATTCCAATTGCACACTGCGGGCAACAGTGGAGATTCCTCGCAGGAGACGATCACAGACACCGTCGCTTTCTCTCCTGCTTCTTTCTCTGCCTCTCAACAAGTATTTATGCTGAAGACTTCGCTGTTTTTTTTTCCTGTTTTCCCAAAGATCTGTATGGTTCTCTGTGTGAGAAGTAGTTCTGGTTGGTTTCGCGAGTCTAATCATTTCGCATTTTGTACAAAATCTACTGTTAGCATTCCATGGTGATAATCTGTGATTTTAGATCAAAATTGAAACTGTGCATTATGATGCGTCGCCTCCCGTTGATGATTCCGGCAAAATAGACATTAAATTTTACAGATGTTGAGATTCGGGGTTAATGCATTGCATTGTTGATTGATCTCGTCTGTTTCCCTTTTCTCACTCGCTCTAATATGACACAATTCGATGATATTTGGGAAATGGTAAACTAGGAAATCTGATTTGCGTTGTAGCTTTGTCTATTGCGCTGAGGAGTTGAGGTAGGATTCTGTTCAAGAAAGATGAGCTACGAATTAAGTTGCAGACGATACCACCAATCCAAACTTATATGGCAAATGTGCCGCGTAGATCGTTACAGAAGAACGATATGTTAACATAGGGTTCTCTCTATCAAACTGCACACGCTAGTGTGTTTTTCTAAGATCTAACATTCTATTGTGTACTTTTGCTCATTGAAAAATAGTTCGGTATCCTTATGATCCTTGTTATGCTTTGCTGATATTGAAAATCTTTCTTTTTATTGGGATTTGCAACTATAAAAGATTCAGAGACGTTTTGAATCCTACAAAAGGAAGACATGTAATAAACAGACAGTTGAATATAGATTGAGGAAACAATAAATGCTTTATATATTGACATTTGAAGAATGTTCTGTACAGATTATCTCTCGCAAACAAAAAATGAGGATGAAGTCTATCATGAATAGAACCAACAGAAGTAAAAGAGCTCTTTGAAACAGCTGACTTTGGTGTGTTTGCTGGTTCCGACTAGACCACCTCAACGAAATTGGGGCTGTAGGAGCTCATCTTGGTGGTAGAAACTCGGCGTTCTTGACGTCCGGAACTCTGCCTCCAGTGTTGAAGAAGGGCAGTGGCAGAAGAGCAAATCTTCCGGTCCTTGTGCTTGGTGAGGTGCTCCAGTCTCCGTTCCATTCCATGGGCCTCTATAACTTCCCAATTGACAGGAATGGTCTTGAGCCTTGATAAAAAATCAACGCAGCTAGAAGAATCTGATCGGCCCAAGAGAATGCCCTTCGTGTTGGCTGCATCTGCTGCTTTCTTGGCTGCTTCAAACAACTCCGACAACTCGATTGCCTTCTTCAGTATATCAGCCTGCGTCATGGACCTCTTCTCCTCGTTGGTCTTGACCCTTTTCGGGATGGCAAGCCTCGGGATTGCAGAAACTTTCGGAGGGTGAGGGTCATTCGGTGGCACCTTCTTCTGGAGAGGCCTCTTCGGAACAGCTTTGGGAGGACTTGTTCTTCTCCCGCTCGCGTAGAGACATTTCAGCAGAGAATCGCGATTCAACTTGGTGACAGAATCTTGGTGGCATTCTTGATTCTTGATAGTATTCTCGGTCCAATGCTGAAGCAGGAGAGATGCGGAAGAGCAGATGTTTCGGTTCTTGTGCTTGGTAAGGTTCTTAAGCCTCTCTTGGATGCGGTTTTCTTTAAGAACTTTCCTAGTGACGGTAAAGTACATGAGCTTGGACAAGAGGTCAACGCAGCGAGTGGCCTCGGACTTGCCCAAGAGAATGCCCTTCACGTTGGCCGCATCCGCCGCTGCCTTCGCCGCCTGAAACATCTCCAAGAGTTGGGTTTCATTCTTCTTCGACGTGTCGCATCTCTCTCTACTGTGATCATCCGAAGAAACCCTCTTCGAGACGGAACATGTCGGACTTGGAGAAACTTGAGGAGAATTGGTGGTGGGAAGAGGTTTGGCGTAAAGAGTTCTCATGAAAGAAGAGAACAACTCTCGAACCTCAGTTCGTATCTTAGGGTTTGGATGATCTCTGAGTCTCTCCAGCTTTTGCAGGGATGCCGATTCTCGAAGATCTTCGGAGGAGAGAGACAGACCCTTGAGACATGTAAGAGCTTCGATGCATCTCCTGAGGTTGTCCTTCGTCTTGACCGCGTCGGCCGCTTTCATCGCAGAAACGACGAGTTGGTCGACTTTCCATCTCTCTATGGCCATCTTTCTTTTTCTGCTTGGGAATGTACGGATCGGAACCAAAGAATACGAAAACTAGGGTTTCAAATGAGACTGATCGCCGGATTGAGAACTTGGAAGAAGCAGAAGAAGAAGAGTGATGGGAGCGAGAGAGAGAGAGAGAGAGAGAGAGATATGGAAACTTCGTTTGTCTTATATATATATATATATAGATATATGGGGAGATAGAGATCTGTTTACTTGGAGAGGACAACTGTCCTTCTGACAACAACGGTCACAACCTCCTCCCGAGTTTCCTTTTCTCTTTTTTTTGGCTGCCGGAATGACCATTTTGACCTCAGTTTCCATCTCTCTTCCTTTTTTTTTGCCGCCGAATGACCATTTCGCCCCATCGGTGTTGCCTTAGAATAACGCTACTGCTTATTTGAAATGTTACGTGATCATCACATTGTTTGATCAGGAATGTTTAATTTTTTGAATTCAAATTTTGATGTCTCGCCAGGCTTTACGTTATGTTAAATTTGATTCAGTAAATCAGGATTCAAATATTTTGAATTAGAACGTTTTATTTTCATTCGCTGATATAATTTTGTAAAAGACATTTTTTTGTGTAGAAAATTTTTAAATAAAAAAAAAGTAGCCAAGCATTCACTCAAGCCAAACACAGAGAGACCGTTTATTCATTTATTTATTTTTGGTTTTTTTGAACCAAAACTTGAGCGACAAGGCATATGAGCATCCTCTCTCAAAATCACATCACGTTGACATTGCTAAAAAAACTGCCAAATCTTTATCCTAAAAGGATAAAAGCAAAACCCTAGATTTCATTTGTATCCGATTGATTCATTGGATCATCATCTTAATTCCATGAATCCTGAATCAGCCTTTCTTTCAAGATTTCTTTTTTTTTTTTTTTTTTTTTTGCAGAAACAGAAGATAAGTTTGGATTTGCATAGAAGATTGTTTTTTTCAAAATTTTTTTTTTTTTTTTTTTTTTTTTTGCAGAAACAGAAGATAAGTTTGGATTTGCATAGAAGATTGTGCCTTTATCTCCTAGTTTCTTTTTCCTTAATTACTCCATACTTCATTTTTGAATTTTTTGGGTACTAAAACAAAAGATTTTTTTTTTAGTTGAGTTTGTTAATGCAAACACTCCTATTGTTATGCCTTTAAATCGGCTTCACAACGCATTGATGAAATCTGCAAACTCGTTTAACGAGTTGTGCGAAGAACCTCCACTTCTAGCAGAGGCTTCGATCTTCTCCTTCAGGCACAGCGCTCTCTTCTTCATCATCACGCCTTCTTCATCCGCCATTAACATCCTCACAGCTCTCTCGACGTCTCCTCTCTTCAACTCCTCGCCCTCCAGCTGAATCCCTATTCTCCAAACCCTCTCTAAATACCTCGCGGTCACCTTCTGGTCCCCGGAAAATGGCCTGCATATCATCGGAACTCCTTCGCTTATGCTTTCCACCGTCGAGTTCCACCCGCAATGGCTCCAAAAGCCTCCTACCGCAGAATGTGAAAGCACTTCCTTTTGCGGCGCCCATTTCACTATATGCCCTCTCTCAGAAACAATGCCATTGAGCTCTTCAGACAAGGATTCTGGGTTGGGGACAGAACCTGGTCTGATTACCCACAGGAAAGGTTGCTTGCTGTTAGCCAATCCCCAAGCCATTTCCACCATATCTTTATGTTCCATCCAAGCCAAGCTTCCCAGGCTTATGTATATCACTGAGCTTTCTGCCTGTTTGTTCAGCCATTCGATGCAGCTCCTGCCCTCTTCCAGCAGGCTGAAAGAAGCTGAGGCCGCCATGTGAAGAGGGCCAATCGGATAAATCGGAGCTTGCAAATCTTGGCGCATCCATTCAAGAGATGAGCTCTCTAGACAGCTTGATGTGTTGATTATGACAAGAGAAGCGCTTCGTTTATCCCGTGCTTTCATGTATAGCTTCAGAGAGCTCTCTAATGGCGCAAATGCAGAAGTGGGCAAGTCCTTGTACCGGAGGGGATAGAGCTCTGGTATCAACTTGTCTTCTTCTCCCGGCTCTGCAAAGACCAGAACCGACATTGTTACAACTCACGCACAAGATTACAAAGATTTGTGAAACTAGGGTACCTTCCAATGGATCCAATAACGGATTATCGTTGAGTCTCCCCATTAAAGAACGGCAAAGGAAAGATGTTGCACTCATGGTACTGAAGATGACACTGGGAAGGTTAAAGTCCATGGCAGCAGCTTCAGCAAAGTACATGATCTCGTCATAGATGACACAGGCTACGTCGTTACCGTGTTGCTGCAACAACTGACCCAGACAGCCCTTGAAGCTCTCCTCGCACACGACATTGAGCTTAATCAGAAACTCAACTGGTCCGAGATTCTTGAACTCGGTTTCAGATAAGCCGCCGAGAATGGTGACAGCTGAAAAATCGGGGAAGTCGTCGGAAGGGGACAAGTGATTGAACTCAGTCTGAGCAACCGTGATGGAGAAGCCCTTCAAGTAGAGGGCTTTTCCCAGTTGCATCATCGCAGTCAAGTGACCCTGTGCTGGAACTGGAACTAACACTACCCTTTTGGCCGCCTTTTCCTCCATTTCTGAAAATTTCTCTCCCTTTTTTTTCCACTACTCGGCTTTTGACAAGAATGCAGACCGGAAATATAGACACGTGCTTATATTGAACGGATGTGTGATGAATATGATTAGAGAGGGTTAGGAAAAATCTTTCAATGCTCATTATGTGGATTTTGGCCCCACAGAGTGAGATGAGGCATGTGCCTTTGCATCACCATCTCTCTCTGGCAAAAAAAAAAAAAAAGACAACATATATAAGATTCCAATGTTATGTTTTTCTTTTAGGCCGTTTCCTTGTTTTATGTATATATATATATATATATATATATATACACAGAAGCATCGCCGTGAGTGAGTGCTAATGATGACATAATGACATTTCAAATGCTAACAGTCTCTTATGTCTCTTATTCTGCAGTTGTTGTTGGAAAAGTAAATAAGAAATCTGATAACTTTTCTTAAAAGTATCATTTGATCTTTACTGGTTAAATATTATTTATCCGAATACATTTTTTTAAAGATGATGAAATCTCTAAGATTTTTCAAACAGAAATAAATGAGAAACAGTACTTTTTCTCCTCTACACGTGTGCTATAAAATTATGCCTTTTCATGAAATATCCCCAACGTTGACACCCTTTTTTGAGTTTTTGTCGCTTAATGAAGACTTGGGGAAAAAAACGTCAAGTAAACAATTCCGATGGTTGAACCCCCGAACTAAGAAGCTGATTAGTTCATTACCAAAAAATAAAAATAAAAATCATTACAAGTTAAAATCTTCATTAAGAGACACCATGGAACAACAGATCCATACAATCTCAACCGTCGGTTTAAGAACAAAATCTAAACCATCTCATCAACATTTAAACAATCTGAACGGTAGGTGGATTCTTTGATCACATTTAGACCACTGGATAAGATTGATATATATATACACACAGTCGAATTCGTGATTGTATCTGAATAAAACTGAACAGTTCAATCACATCCTACGATTTCACAAAAATATATCATTCATCTCTTAGAACTAGGGTGGTCACTTTGGTGATTAACGAATACTCAATTGAATAAAACATAACCGTAACTGAACCACATCTAATATACCAAAATCCAACAGTTATGATTTCTCTAAATCCAAAAAAAATGAAATCGAGCCAATTAAAAAATAACCGAAAAAATCAATAATTTCTTTAAAAAACAAATCCGAACCAAATCGAAGTTTATATAAACCCCAAATGGTTATAGTTTTTCTATAATAAAAAATAACCGAATCGAGCAGTGATTGTGTTGCTCTGAATAAATCTGTTACCTTGCACGGACCGAGCTGTGATTGTGTTGCTTCTGAAGCAAGCATAAACCCTAAGAAAAATAAGTTAAAAAAACGTCACAACAATCGTAAAAGCAGTATACCGACAAAACAAATGTACATGTAACAGTACAAGTTCGATTTTCGGGCCATTGATGCTACTGGTTTCCCTTTGGTGGAGGGCCTGGAGGCAAAGGTGGCGGCGGCATACCAGGCTGATTCCCAGGTTGCTGCACATCAAAATAACGCTCGGCTCGGGTTAGTCACTGGACAAAAACTATTTTCAACGAACTATGCTTTCTAGGATCTTGTATTTCATCCAAAACCAGTCACCCAAGATTCAAATGCATTGCAAAACTCGGGCATGCAGTTTCATAAACTTGTTCTGCATAGTTATTTAAACATCCGACTGGTATTTCAGTTTTAAGACAAAAACTGAAACGTATCAAGTTGTTCCAATGCTTTTAGTATAAAGGACTTCAGATATATACCGGTTGGTAAGGATTAAATCCTGGCATCATCGGCATCTGCCCACCTTGGGGACGGTTGAAGCCACCGCCTTGAGGATACATTTGAGGTCCACCAGCGTTCGGTGGTCCTTGGAATCCTACTGAAGATTTACTCGGATTCATGCCCATAAAATGACCTTGAGGCATCTGAGGATTCATTTTGTTCATTCCGCCTTGCATTCCCTATGTGGTAAACGAACAGCAGTTAAAGTTTCTAACATGCAGATGCAGAGTTAAATCGGAAAAGTATTTTGAAACTTTCGTTCTCCACAAAATGGCATGTGAGGGTTATTTTGTTTTTGAGCTACGAGAGACAGAAATTTTGAGAAAGAAACAGAGATTATACAGAGATGTTTGTCCATACCATTGACCCTGGCATCTGATGAGACATAGGCATTGAAGAAGGCGGCATTGGCGAAGGCATACCATGAGGAGGCCTGGGTAGATGCGGATGAGGGAGCAAGGGCATATGTGCAGGAGGCTGAAGTTGTGGCATATTGGAAGGTGGCATTGGCATTTGCTGGGGAAGTCCTTCAGAGATTATACAGAGATGTTTGTCCATACCATTGACCCTGGCATCTGATGAGACATAGGCATTGAAGAAGGCGGCATTGGCGAAGGCATACCATGAGGAGGCCTGGGTAGATGCGGATGAGGGAGCAAGGGCATATGTGCAGGAGGCTGAAGTTGTGGCATATTGGAAGGTGGCATTGGCATTTGCTGGGGAAGTCCTTGGTGTTGTTGTTGCTGCGTCGGCTGAGAGTTCTGTTGATATCCTTGTTGTGGACCGATCGGCAGAAGAG